TCCACTTTACAAACGATGATTTTCCGTTATAACTATAAATCAAATGATGATTTTTATTCACCTAATTCATTATAAAGTTTATTTAACAGTTTAAACAATTCGAAATCGAAATGGATAGTCTAGGGAACATACTGTATTAATGTACTCTACTGCATATAATTTGTGAACATTTACATGATTTGTACACTTTGAACTCCCTTTCAGGCTGAAAGGGACTGAAAAATTTCATACCGAGAGATTCTTTTAATTCCTCTCTATATATTCTATTCTCTACAGTCCCTGTGACAAAGTTCACTTATGTAGGGGGAGGGTAGGGAATATTAAATTGGAATACAAATCCAGGGACTATTAGTTCCAAAAGGGGGTTTTACCCATTTCTAAAACTAGAAATGGGCACAGATTGAGTTTTCGGGTTTCCCGCCCATTATCGAGAGTAAAAGTCGATAGTAAAAACTACTTTTTCAGTGTTGAAAATGGGCCAAATCGCTGTCTGGAACTAATGTCCCCTGAAATCATATTGCTTATTAAAATCAAGTTTTGATCCTGTAGAGAAGAAAGTTTACAGTTCTCTCGAAGGTCTACGATGTCAAACCAGACCAGCAGTTCTAATATACAAGAAGAGGAGCCTAGATAAATATACAGAGCGTCCCATATCATATTAGATTATCTTCAATCTTTAACGACAAAATAAATCTTTAATACTCAAAAAACTTATCATTTTCCGCAAGAAAATTCTTATATAAGCCTTATATTATTTTTCAAAATGATAAATTCTAATTAAATTTTCTGATTAGTCCCGAAAATCGTAATTTAGACCCGTTCTCGGTCTAATATGATGTGGGACACCCTGTAGTTCCGATCAATCCTTTTCAATTCTTATCTGTTATTTGTATATTAAATCTTGCGCTAGATTCATACTGAAAACAAAATTTTATCTGTTAACAAATTTACATCTAAAGTTCTCCTTATTTTAATTTACTATTTCAAACTGGCATATAATTTTGTAATTTTTCTGACTTAATTATGCAGTTTGTAGATTGTAGGTGTACTTCTTTTTATTGTCAAAACTTGCGTCTATATTTATTTGTATTATATATTTAATATAACGATGGAATCCTTGACGACGTGTTGACTTTAGATAATGATTGTTGATCGTCTCTTTTTCCATATAATCCTACCGACAAATGTAATTAATAACTGTATGATTGTATGCCAATGATACCCCATCATCTGTCAGTCTTAAAACCTTCACAGAGGATTAATGTTTTCTATATTTCAGATTTAACCCAGGTGTGGGAGGTATATTAACAATCCACAATGTCGGGGTTTACTCCCAAACACATTAATGAGAATAAGCTCAAGGCTTTCTCTCTGGGAGCCATGGGACACAAAGCAGCAAGCAGGTTAGTCTGGTTCAAAACATATTTGAGATATCTATCTATCTATCTATTCTGACTCCCCAATAACACTAGTGTTACCAGGTAACCACCCCTCCCTGCAACCCAGAGCCCCCTTTTGGGGTGCGTGGATTACAGAGTTAGCATGACATGTGCAATGATACTGTTATGCCCGAGTGGCGGTAGCCGAGCCGTGAAGCCTGTATCTACAGCCCGGTATTAAATTTCCTATGGCCCTCTGGCCCAGCCACTGCTCTATACTACCAGATCCATGATACATTGATACAACCCTATTTCATTACTGTCAAAACCTATTCTCACTTTCTTCCTCAATTTTCTGATATATATATAAAGAATTCTTATATTAGTTCCAAAATCAAGTACCCCTCCCCCAACACCACAGGAAACCTAAAAATTCACTAACAAAAAAGATTGAGGGGGGAGGCATTCCATGGCAATTATTTTATTTTAGTTAAGATATTAATTTTTTTTTATTTACTCGCGCCTTTTTCAAAATCCATTTTGTACATTTTTATTTTTCAGGGGAGAAGAGGAGAAGCGAAAAAGGAAGGAAGAGGAAGAACGGATCGGAGTCTTGTATAAAGAATTTGAAGAACATTTCGATGATAATCCTGTCGCAAAGATCAACAAGACCTGGGTGAAGGCGGGGACCTTCAATGCCGGGAACAGGAAGGAGGATACGAGTGGGAAGGGAGAGCTTTATAAACCTAAAAGTAAATTGGCGGAACTGGCGGAGTCCTTTAGTACCCGCCAAAAGGCAATGGAGGAGCAGGCACGTCTACGTGCGGCGGAGATAATGCGCCCTGAGAAACCTGGAAAGAAGAAGGATAAAGATAAGAAAAAAAGTAACCTCGAGATATTCAAAGATGAGCTTAAAGCCATTCAAGTTGAGAGAGAGGAACGACAGAAATACAAGGCGATGATAAAGGCGGGTGGCGCCCCTATCCCCGGCAAATCTCTGCTTGACATCCCACCGGGCGGAGCTTTGGGAGATATAATGGCGGATGTTGAAGGAGATCCCTCCAGTACCAATATATATCTCGGTAATATTGCTCCTAAACTCTCGGAGATGGAGCTGACCAAACTGTTTGGAAAGTTTGGTCCTCTTGCTAGCGTCAAGATTATGTATCCAAGGAAGGGTTTTATTTTAACCTTTGTTTTTCAATAATTCTTTAAAAATAGTTGCTCTAGCAGGGTAGGAATGTTTGCCCCGTGTTTTTGTTGATATTTAAACTTTCTATAATGGGAGAAAACCTTGTCAGTGGCTTTTGAATTCTTAAGTTTTCCCCTAAATCTTCGAACCCATTTCACTTAACTGATATTTGTAAAACTGCTTAAAAAAAATAAACCACCACCAATCAGGACGGACGAGGAAAAGTCGCGAGGAAAGAATTGTGGATTCGTCGCGTTCATGTCAAGAGCAGACGGAGAGCGGGCAATGGCTGCGCTTCTGGGTAAAGATGTTGCCGGTCACGAGATGAGAATGGGTTGGGGTAAACCCGTCGGACTCCCCCTCCAGCCGATCTATGTTCCCCCTGCTCTCATCAAATATATCACACCTCCACCACAGTCTGGACTACCGTTTAACTGCCAACCGCAAGGTCATGATGCGGACCGCTGGGGTCTAGCTTCTATCAGCAATAATAATCCCCGACCCTGCGATATGCCCTCTGATTCCAAGGGAAAGAAAAGATTTTACAGGATGTTGAAACGAGCTGTGATCAAGGTTGTCATTCCTGCGGATAGGAGTCAGCTCAGCCTTATAAACAGGATGGTTGAGTTTGTAGTGAGAGAGGGTCCCATATTTGAGGCTACAATCATGAACCGAGAATTGAATAATCCCCAGTTTAAGTTTCTGTTTGAGAACCAGTCTCCGGAGCATATTTACTACAGGTGGAGACTTTTCTCCATCTTACAAGGAGATTCAAAGGATAAATGGTCAACAAATGATTTCCGAATGTTCAAGGGCGGATCAGTTTGGCGGCCACCGATTCCCAACATATTTACTTCTGGTATGCCGCTTGAGCTGCTTGGTTGCGACGGGGCAAGTGTTGATCCCGACGAGAAATTGGCGGAGGAGAAGGAAACTCCTCCCAAACCTCCTGTTGTGATACTTCCCGGGAAGAAACCCTTAACAGACAGCCAGCGAGACACCCTTGAGTCAACACTTAGGTCCCTCCTACCTGACAGGTAAGCTATTAAATACCCCTTGAGCTAGATCAAACCTTCTCTCTGTACTTTAGGAACGGGATCGCCGAGGCTATGGTCTGGTGTATTGAAACTGCAGAGTGTGCAGAGGAGGTGGTTGAGTGTCTTGCTGAATCTCTCTCCATCCTGGAGGTGAGAAAAAATAAACAAAACTGGAAATCTCTGTCTTGAATATCTCTCAAGTTATCTCTATCTTCCGACTCATATCTCACACCTTTGATCTGATTCAGACCCCAGTTGTTAAAAAGATAGCTCGCTTGTTCCTGATATCTGATATACTCCACAACAGCACGGTCAAGCTACCTAACGTGTCCTTCTACAGAACTGGATTCCAGGTAAACTAAGCCTACTCCGGAAGTAGTTTCAGAGTACTTGGATTTAGAAGATAAGGAAAAAACCAGACTCCTAACCATAAAAACAAAACAAATTTAGCGTTGATTATGCAACACTTTTTAATGTTGTAAGCAAATTATTTGTAGCAGTGCTTGGAACACTGACCAGGTAATAGACGACAAAAACTTTCAATAAAGTCATAAGAATGCAAGACTTTTTAAATAGCGAAAATGTACGTTTCACAAACAGGTTTTATAAAGTTTTCTTTCTTCTAATTTTTCAAATTTAACGGATTTTGTACTTGTCTTCTTGTTTATGTCGTATAACCACATGTACAGGCGAAGCTGCCGGAAGTGTTTAAGGATTTGCACGCCTCCTACACTAATATATCTGACCGGCGCAGCGCAGAGGCATTCAGGCAGAGGGTCATGTCATGCTTCAGAGTATGGGAGGTAAGCATTCAGGGTCTTTATTTTGCAATCTTGCGAGTTTTTGTTTGGGGGGGGGGGGGAGTGGAATTATTAAATGCATGTCAATTACTACAGATGTTGTATATACTAACAGACTCCCTATTCTGAGACTCACATCTTATTATCTAATGGGGGTGCTGGCAGGTCTGGTTACTTGTTTTTTTCATGGCCAATTAGAAAGATCAAAAACATATTTGATATCAGGACTGGAACCTCTACCCGATGGATTTCCTGATCAAGATGCAGAACCTGTTCTTGGGTCTGGTAAACCAGGAACCGGAGAAGGAGTCCGAGGAAGAAGGAAGTGCTACGGATGATGATGTTGACGGGATGCCGCTAGATGGAGCTGCACTACTTAAGGGAAACATTGCCAGAGCTAAACTAGCAAGGTAAAAAATAGTTTGTAAAGAATCTCAGGAAAACCATAAAAATCTTTCCTCAAACCTAAACTTGATAAAGAAAGTTACCAAAAATCAAAACATTAATTTTGTAAAGTTTTTCGTTTTATTATATATCCAGAAATATATTAGGAGATCCAGTGAGTAAACGCTTCTTTTTTTAAAGATCAACTGGACTTATTTTTAATTTGGATAGTGTAAGTCATTAGCTATTAGAATTTTTTATATTTTTCTTTACAAGCATTAAACCATTCCGGGGTCTGTCAGTTCTGAGGTCACACATGAGATTTTTAATTAAAGGTTTAAAAATATTGAGCCCTTCAAACAAACAAGACAAAAAATATTTCTGTTCCACACTGGGTGACTCAAAGTTCTTATGTTTATAAACGTATGATTTTGATTTCAGGTCGGATACACAGAGTGAGGATAGTTTGGATGGAGAACCTATCGACGGAGAAGCAAAGAGAACGGTTTCTCCGGCTCCTCCTCCTCCCGCCGGAGCATTTATTAAGAGTAAATGGGAAACTGTAGACCCGGAGCAGGTAGAAAATCTTGGATCTTACAGATCTTTCTGGTATCTCATCTGACCAGGTTTAGTCATTCTGCTTTTTATTAATGTAATTGACGGTAGATTGTCCAGATAATTTTATTTCTTTTTTGACAAAATTCGATTTAGATTTTTTTAAATCAAGTAAGTTAACCTATCTTCTTTTAGGTGAAAGCCCAGGCCGTCACGACAAGTAAGTGGGAGAGGGAGGAGAACGATGATTTGGTAAAGGCGAGGAAGGCCCTGATGGGTGCAATGGCGAGCAAGTGGGAGGACCAGGAGGACAGCCTGGACGGAGAACCGATAGAACGAGATGATGGATCATCAGAACTAGAACTTAAAGCTGCAGAGGAACGCCGACAAATTCTCAGGTTATAATTGAATTATAATTGATAGTTTTTTTCCCATTCTGACCTTGCCTTATTTCAGGGAGATTGAAGTAAAAGTCATGGAGTACCAAGATGACCTGGAGAGTGGGAGCAAGGGAATCAAATCAGGCTGGAGTATCGCGGAACAAGTCGAACACTTCAGAAAGAAACTTCTCCGTAAAGCTCTTGACGAAACTCCGAGGAAGGAAAAGGAACGTAACTCAGATGATTCGGAGCTGGATCGAAGTAGTAGGAGCAGTAAGAAAAAGGAAAAGAAAAGAAAACGCGACCGTTCATCATCAGAATCAAGGTCAAGGTCCCGAGAGAGAAACCGATCCAAGGATCGGAAAAAGAAAAAGAAATCTCGCGAAGGAAGCTACAGTTCCACCCCGGATCGGAGAAAGAAGGACAGATCCCGGTCTCCGAAAAGAGCGAAGCGTTCCAGATCAAAATCCCCGAAGAAGCATAAAAAGAAACGTCATTAATTAAAACCTGCCTCCTTGTTTATATTGAATTCTCCTATTTTCCATAATAACTTTGTGTAATAATTACAGATGGGAGACAGTAGATCGTCCAGTGAGGACCCGACCTCGGAGAAGGAATGGGTTCTGTATAGAGATAGAACGGATTGGAAGGATGTTACCCCAATACCACAGGAATATATCTTCATTTCTGACTTAATGTCAATTTTTGTTATCAATTTTCAAGTTAAAGTTTTGTTATAACACACCTGGCACAATTGGACCAGATTTTGATTGATACAAATATTTGTCTTCTTCACCGGGACTTGGAACGTTCAGATTTCTTACGAAATGATTTTGTTTCGGTTCTCTAGCAGACATTGTTAAGCTTCCTAAAGTTCTGAAGATCTGTTAAAAAGAATGATGGTCCGAGTCCTGTGGTTCAGATCGCCTACAGTGATCGGTTTAAGGATGTCTACGATTATTTCCGGGCTGTCATGAAGTCTGAGGAGAAGAGTTCGAGAGTTCTTGGTCTTACAGAGGATGCATTAGATCTTAACCCTGCTAACTATACTGTTTGGTATTATAGGTAAAAACTAAAAAATAATAAATAATAACTGTAAACATAGTTTACGATGTACAGTGTGTCCCACGAAACATAATATTTATATATTTTCTTTGATATCCCAATAGTCTTCTTTTTACAGTGTTTGGTTCTTGAACCTGGAACATATAATAGCTTTCAAAATTGCGGTTTATGTTTCTTTTATCTGTACAATGAAAGCGACAATTGATAGAGAATGGGAGCATTTGTCAGATAGATCACAGACTATGTCTGAGACACGCTTGGACTGAAAGATGGAGCCCTAAATGTATCCAGAAGAAATTTTGTGTCTATACATTCTTTGGAATGAATAATATATCCTAACAAATCCAAACCTGAAAGAAATTCTGTACTTTTTGTTAAATTCAAAAGCATATTCTTGGTTTACGTTTTGGAAATTTCTAATTCTTGTGTTATAAGCATACTTGTAAATCAAGATTTTCACATGAATGTCGCATGATATAATAAAATTTGACGGTTCGGCTGCTTAATTATAAAATTTATCATTTTTAATGGGACGAACTGTTAAAAAAGTAATCATAGAAATATTTAATTTCTTTTTGCTCTTGACAATTGTAACGCATTAAGCCAATATACAGAAAGAAATGTCAAGCTTGAATTAAATGTTGGAGTCTAAAGCAAGTCCTCAAAAAAAAATGACAAAAGACTAGTGTACTGTACTTTTCATAAGTTATGTACTAATTAATTCAAATAAAGACAAAGACTGGATGATAAAATTTTATCAATGTTATTAACCCTAATCTTATTAAGGAGAGAAGTTTTAAAGAGTTTAAAATCCAACCTGAAGGATGAACTGGCGTACTGCAGGGAGATGATTGAGGAACACCCAAAGAATTATCAGGAATCTTTAACTTAAGATCATTATATGAGAAAATTAATTATCTCGCCATGATTAACGTCGTTATTTAATTACCCCCCCCCCCCCCCTTGGTGGTAATTAAATATCCCCCCCCCCCTTCGTACAATGTAAAATGTACTACACTCTAAAATAAAGAATAAATAACTAGGTTTGGCAGCATCGTAGAGTTCTCATTGAATGGCTCCAAGATCCGGGAAATGAACTTAGGTAAATTATTGACGAGATAAGAATTGATAAGTTTAGAAGGAAGAATTTTTTAAACGTTTTTTCTAAACCTGTAAATTTTTAGAGGTGGAAAATTTTAAACAGTTGACTATTGACAACCCCCTTTTGATCTGTTTAAACTGTGGACCTAACCAATCAGAGATGGGTTAATCTCCTTTCGAGGAATAATAAAGTAAACATAGACCATTCATCAAAAGTTGCCAGCTCTGTCCGTTAAAGATTCAATTTTTAAAAATCTGTAGTTATTTAAGATGAAAAAGTTTCAAATTTTTAGTGTTGCTTAAGGTTTAAAAGTGTCACATCTTGGCCATAATGACAGTTTATCCTTTGAAATTGTTTACATTCACAGTTTAACACATCTGAAGAATGAATTTAACTTAAACCATTTATCAGAAGTTGCCAGCCTCGTCTGTTTATGATGCATTTAAAAAAAATATTTGTTCTTTCATTTAGGATGAAATAGTTTCAAATCTTTAGTTTTGCTCAAGGTTTAAAAGTGTTGCTTCTTGTCCATAATGATAGTGATCCCCTGCAATTGTTTAGATAAAAAATAGTGAATTACCGTATAGTATACTGTCTCTTTTTTCTAAAGCATTTCACTATAGAGACAAAGTTACATTAATAAATTTTTGTAAACTTTATGTGAGACCACACCTAGAGTTCTCCGTCCCAGTTTGGTGTCCTTAAAGTGTAGGAGATAAAGAAACTTTTAAAAAAAGTTCAAATAAAAGGGCGGTCTCAATAGTTTCAGAACTCACTGGTTCATCTTACAGTGAAAAACTAATTGAACTGAATTTACAATCCCTAGAAAGTCGAAGACTCCGCTATGATATAATTGAAACCTATAAAATTATTCATGGTGTTAATAATGTTGATAAAAGTGTTAGTGGTTTTCAATGTTAGCAGATACATCCAATAGAATTACAAGGATGTCAGAAAATCCTCTTTCGTGCCAATTTTTGTAGAACTGATAATCGTAAACATTTTTTTAGCTAAAGAGTTGTTTCTCCGTGGAATGATTTAGCGTGTGATATAAAAACTGCGTGAACTTTTAAATCTAGATATGATAAATATGTAAAGAATTCTAATCTGTTCTAAGATTACATAGAAAGAAAACAGAAAGGCCAAATTAAAAAAAAGAAGAACGAAATGTCGAAAAATAAATGTCCTTTTTAAATCTTGATGCACTAGATATTCGTAAATATTGAATATAATATTTTCTGCATATTAATGTGATAAATTCAAGTCATGGATTAATGTCTAATAAATCTTATGTCACAAATCTCCTGGAGTTTTTGGCGACTGTGACAGACTATGTAGACAAGGGATTTAATCTAGACCTTATTTATCTTGACTTTTGATACTGTACCCCATCTGAGATTAATTGAAGAAAACAAGGCTCATTCTATTAGTGGTAAAAATTTTGAACGACAACGATCTGAAATTTTCTTATATACTTCACCAGGAGTCCTGAAAATAATCATAACATAAACATAAATATATATGTTTTTCCTTATAGGTTTACGGAGGTGATTCTTGCGGCAGATCAAAAGAACTATCACGCTTGGCAGCACAGGAATCATGAAAATCCAATAAAATGTTGAAGTTTTGCTGCTGACGGCAATCTTTTCAATTTCCTACTCATGTCTGTTACATAAGAATAGGATTTTTTTTCGTACGGTATAGAAGAATTGAGAGAATGGGCTTCTCAGCGTAGTTTTAAGCCCTTAAAGAGAATGCCAAACGATATAAGACGCTATCCTTAAAATTTTTGCATAATTAAAGATAAGAGGGAACACATAATTTTTTCATAAAAGCATAAAAATGCAAACAAATCGTTTTAAAGGGTACCGTTGATTAAATGTATGTTGGTAGTTTATGTATAAAGGGATATAAGGTTCAATCTTATAGTAAGATTTTTGGACCTTCTTCATTTCTTAATTTTCCACTGATTGATCAGACAATGGGTGCTGCAGGCATTCAGTCTTTGGAAGGATGAACTGGAGTTCGTGGAGAGATTGCTTGATGATGATATTAGGTTAGTGGCAGTGGGGGCAACGGGGTTCAGTCCCCCTGGGATAAGTCAAATATATGGTTTACAGCAGGTTTTCAGGTCCAAATGGGTGGAAAGAATCCCCCCCCCCCCTTGAGAAAGTCCCGAGTACGCCCCTTGTCCGAATTTAATGAATTTGAGCCGCGTCTTAAATCCACCAAAAACCGGTTTTAATTGACCGCTGGCTTAAATCTTGAAAAAAATCAATACAAATTTAAGTAGAACCAACCATATTTGAGCCGCGGCTCAAATTCTTTGGTTAGTGGTTTAAAATCTTCTAAATAGGTTCATTTTATTAAGAGGTGAGTTTTTATAGTCCTGATGACTTTATTTGGTATGAAAACCCGTAAAATATGTAGTACAAATTACACTGTATGTACATAAAAATAAAATTTTATAGACATTAATAAGTCAAACCATTGGTTGATTAAAAGAAGAAATTATCACGAATAATCCAAGAGTCTACGTTGATTAATGTTCAGGAACAATTCTGCTTGGAATGAACGGTTCTACGTGGTGAGTCAAAGTGAAGGTTGGAAGAACCCTGTAGTGGAGAGAGAGATTAAGTTCGTCCTGGAGAAGATTAACATGGTTTCCAGGAATGAGAGTGCGTGGAACTATCTCAGGGTTAGTTAATATATAGGAGGCATAACCAAACCACCCACACACAAAAACCACTTAGATATCCAAAGAAAATTCTTGAAAAGTAACAATTGCATCTTTAGTGTTTTTTTTCTTCAATGGGGGGGGGGGGAGGGGCGTAAAAAGTAACTTTTAAGTCTCTCATCCTTTTTTTCTTTTACTACAATTGTAGCATTCATTTCTCTTGGGAGTGGTTTTCAAAATTTTTAATTGTGTTATTAAATTGTAAACAACTTTTGTTCTCCAGGGAGTACTGGAGCACTGTGAGGACGATGAACTGAGAGGAGAGTTGAGAAGCAGGGTTCAGAATACTTGTCAACAACTCCTAGATAAGGGGGACGAATCTCCTTATCTTCTAGGCTTTATGGTTGAACTGTTGATCCAGGTACAGTCAAGAATAATTGATTTCTTAGATACCCCACTCCACCCCCACCCCACTTTTCATTATAAAATCTTCACGTTATTGTGGAAATGTCTACTTCTGTTTGTAAAATAGTATTTTTACATTTGTGAAAAAACGGGGATGACACAACGGTTCGATTTTCTATAATTTCTAGGACCTGGAGAACAAGAACTTGAAAGTATCGGAGCAGACGGAAACCTTAAAGAAGATTGAATCCATGTGCACGAACCTGGCAACAAACTGTGATAAAATTAGAAAAAAATACTGGGACTATATTCTAGCGACAGTTCAGAGTAAATATAAGAGTTCGTGATAAGTGATTGATATCCATCCATACACCTGGTTATTCTAAATATAATATAATGTTTGTAACATTTTTTTTCTTTAATTTGACCCGTGATTTATTTTCTTAATTTACCGCTAACTGTCTCTACACTGAATATATAGAAGACTGAGCTTGATATTATAAAGATATGAACAGTAGGGTTAATATTTTTCTAACCCCCACCAAGCCCAAATTTAAGAAGTAATGGGTTTGGAATTAATAATTGAATATTATTTGTCATGGTTTTTACAAAGACCTCGCAAAATTGTGTTAACCCAAAACTAGTGTTTACAATGAATGAAAACATTAACCATATTGTGCTTGCTGTTTGAATACTCTCCATTTTGTTACAAAAGAATGCTGAAATTTTCTACAATGATGATTGCAGGAATAAGTGTCAAGAATTAACTATTTGAATAAAGTCCTAGCTTATTTTTTTTCTATTGTATCCTTTTAGCTTGATCATTTCCAAGTTCAGAGTGAAAATGGCAGATGCTGATAACTCACTCCGTCAGGCACTCCTGGACACAGTAGCAGGTTAGTTCTACAATATAATAATATCAGAGGTTGGAGCTGAATTAATCCGCTGCGTAAATATTAAATCTGAGGCGAAGAAAGGAAAACAAGAGTCTTGAATTAACTCGCTATTTCTTGTTGGTCGAACGCAGGTTTTTGTGCCTTAAAATTGGTTAATAAGTTTAGTAGATGAAGCTCTCATTTGTGGAATTCTCGGACCTTTTAAAATTTCTGAACGGTATTACCATATGGGATTAACAACACAAAGTTCTGAATTCTGGTCAAAACAATTCCAATTTATCTTCAAAGGTTTTGGCACTGAACCACGATGAACATTTTTTTTAGCCAATCACTAGTGTTTGACGAAGTTTTAATGAATATTTTCATATATTGGTCGGCGATTCTATCAATACAATGAAGGCGACTTTTTATTTTTAATTATTTGATTCCTAACAAGCCTTCTTCAAATTACAAGATTAGAAGTAAACAAAGGTAATCTGTTTAATTATTGCCAACTTCTCTGTTAAAAAAGTGTCTCTGGTGTTTTTAAGTTTGGTGGAAATTAAATTGAAATAGAAAGTCGTCTTCATTGTATTAATATGTAAGACGATGATTAACATTTTTTATTAATAGAAAAGAAGTTTATGGGGATAAAGGAAGCCTTTTATTTGACAGAGTTTGTTAATCCCAGAAATGATTGGGAAATTGAAATGAAACCCAGCTATAACCCATAATCATGGTCTGGGCAAACAGAATTTACCATTACATATTCTAGCATTTATAAATATTTAGTAAGAAACACAGTTGCCTTCTATCTAGCAGCTATAGCACACTGGGACTGGCCGGGTATTTGTAAAAAGTATTTTTTTATCTGATATTTGAATATATCCAGGACTGATGAACCCAGACCAGGTTGTCAGGAAAGCTGCTGAGGAGCAAGTTAAAGCACTGGAGGTAGGAATACTTTAACTTCACAGAGATCCAAACAGCCATAGAGCTGCACTATTTTTTTTGGTCTGAGTAACTCCTTGGCCTTTGAGTCTACTTGATTAAATCTTCCAGATTGTACATTGTTTTTCACTTCTTTATTTGCCGATGATACTGGATTCTTAAAATCATCCAATAATCTAGAAACTCTTTTTCAAAAGGCAAATCATGAACTTTCTAAAGCATCTTATTGGTTTCAGGCTAATAAGTTAACACTTAATGTTTCAAAAACCAAATATATTGTATTTAGAAATAAATCTAGATGCCATTTGATGATCAGGGTTATAATCTCAAAAAAGGAAATGAAATTATTGAAAGAATAGGCTCAACTTGCAAAGATAAATATTTCAAGTTTGTCGGTGTAAAATTTGACGAATTTTTGAACTGGAATTATCAATTAGATGGTATTTGTGCAAAATTATCTAGTGCAGTTTTGCCCTAAAAAGCGTTAAAAATATTCTCCCGTTAAACATAAGAAAGATAGTTTATGAAAGTTTAATAAAATCTCAATTAGAGTATGGTATTTTAGCATGGGGGTCATCAGCAAACAATAAAATAGGAAAATTATTTAAACTTCAAAGGAAAGCAATACGGACTGTCAGATAAAGGATATTCACAGCATACAGATCCTTTTTTTCTGAACTTGGAATGCTTAAATTATCTGATATACACAAACATAATGCTTCTACTTTTATGTATAAATATATAAAAGAAAAACTTCCTTCGGTTTTTAATGGAATGTTTGCTCCATTTGTAGAACCTAATAGGACACAAAGTTTTAAATTGGAATTAATAAGAAACAAATATCTTAAACCTTTTCCAAAAATATTTCTCACGAGAATTTGGAATAGTGTTCCAATGAATATTTAATGTTCATTATCAGTACATAGTTTCAAAACGAATATGAAAATATATCTAGCTTCTAAATATAAGGAATTTAAATGTAAAAACAGGAACTGCTACTCATGTAATTTGGAAATCTTGTAAACCACTCTGTAACATATTATCTACAAAAATTGGATTTTTTAGTGCTGGGGTTTCTCCTTCTCTTCCCTTTTCCCTTTACTATTCAACATTCCTTCTTTTTTTCCCTTTTTTAAAAATTACTTTGTGAATTGTGTAATGTATTCGTTATTTGTTAATTAAAAAAAAATACAATGTATCTAAAACTTTGGAGGGCCAGCCAATCAAAACAACCAGAAATGGTTAGGCTGTAGCCCTGGCTAATAATTGTTTAGTAAATAATTATAAAATGTAAAATGTATTTATTATAATGTTAGCCGAAATATCTATCTATCTATCTATCTACTTTTGTTTGGTGGTCCTAGATATCTTCATATTAGCTTCAGCTTTTAAGAAGTAAGTGGCAAATTTCTTTTCGTTTTTTTGTGAGAGCCTAATTAAAGAACCAGCTTCAAATTAAAACATTTTAATGTATTTTAGGATTTTACTGTATATATATATATATATATATATATATATATATATATATATATATATATATATATATATATATATATATAATATATAATATTATTTATATTAATGTGACTTGCTTGGACTTCATAATCGGTTTTTTTTATGGGAAAATTTTTTTTTGGTGTTAATTCATTCTCTCTTTTATTGATAACCTTTTCACACAAAAAATAATTTAACATCTTTTGAACTGATCTATTTAAATTTTAATCACGAAATGATTATATATTTTTAAAAAGTTATAGAAGAGGTCCTGGCTGAAAAATCAATGTTAATTTTGGACTTGAACCTCCATTCTGAGACTTGGAATCTGTTACCAACTCCACGAAATTTTTAATTTTATTCAATAAGACAACGTTTTCATTTTCTAGGTGACAGACGAGTATGGAGTATATTTATGTGAGTTGACCCTGAACCCTCAAGGTCTCCTTCCGGTCAGACAACTAGCTGCAGTTCTTCTTAAACAATATATAGACGCACACTGGTCACAGGTATTTTTCAGGTTACTACAGGGAGTGAGTTGTTTGGTTCGTTGATCACAGTTATTTGGTTTTTGAGTTATGTGGATGAATGGTCTCTCAGTTCCGTGGGTGGACTTAGTTCTGGATAGGTGGAGAAATATTTTATTATTTATTTAATATTTCGAATATTGACGGGTTCTAGTCAATTTTATTTAAAATTGATTAGAGATTGATTTGAATTTGATTTAAGATTAATTTGAGATTGATTTGAGATTAATTTGAGATTGATTTGAGATTAATTTGAGATTAATTTGATTTGAGATTGATTTGAGATTGAATTGAGATTGAATTGAGATTGAATTGAGATTGAATTGAGATTGAATTGAGATTGAATTGAGATTGAATTGAGATTGATTGAGATTGAATTGAGATTGAATTGAGATTGAATTGAAGGATTGATTTAGGATTGATTTAGGATTGATTTGGGATTGATTTAGGATTGATTGGAGATTGATTTGAGATTGATTTAAGATTGATTTAAGATTGTTTTGAGATTGTTTTGGGAATAATTTTAGAATGATTTGAGATTGATTTGAGATTGATTTGAGATTAATTTGAAATTAATTTGATTTGAGATTGATTTGAGATTGAATTGAGATTGAATTGAGATTGAATTGAGATTGAATTGAAGGATTGATTTAGGATTGATTTAGGATTGATTTGGGATTGATTTAGGATTGATTTGAGATTGATTTGAGATTGATTTGAGATTGATTTAAGATTGATTTAAGATTGATTTAAGATTGTTTTGAGATTGTTTTGGGAATGATTTGAGAATGATTTGAGATTGATTTGAGATTGATTTGAGATTGATTTGAAATTGATTTGAGATTATTAATTTGAGATTAATTTGAGATTAATTTGATTTGAGATTGATTTGAGATTGATTTGAGATTGAATTGAGATTGATTTAGGATTGATTTAGGATTGATTTAGGATTGATTTAGGATTGATTTGGGATTGATTTAGGATTGATCTGAGATTGATTTGAGATTGATTTGAGATTGATTTGAGATTGATTTGAGATTGATTTGAGATTTATTTGAGATTGATTTAAGATTGATTTAAGATTGTTTTGAGATTGTTTTGAGAATGATTTGAAAATGATTTGAGATTGATTTGAGATTGATTTGAGATTGATTTAAGATTGATTTAAGATTGATTTAGGATTGATTTAGGATTGATTTGGGATTGATTTAGGATTGATTTGGGATTGATTTAGGATTGATATGAGATTGATTTAGGATTGATTTGAGATTGATTTGAGAATGATTTGAGAATGATTTGTGATTGATTTGAGATTGATTTGAGATTGATTTGAGATTGATTTGAGATTGATTTAGCATTGTTTTAGGATTGTTTTAGGATTGATTTAGGAGATGATTTGGGATTGATTTAGGATTGATTTGAGATTGATTTAGGATTGATTTGAGATTGATTTGAGATTGATTTGAGATTGATTTGAGACTGAATTGAGACTGATTTGAGATTGATTTGAGATTGATTTGAGACTGAATTGAGATTGATTTGAGACTGATTTGAGATTTATTTAAGATTTATTTAGGATTGATTTGAGACTGATTTGAGACTGATATGAGACTGATATGAGACTGATTTGAGACTGATTTGAGATTGATTTGAGATTGATTTGAGATTGATTTGAGATTGATTTGAGATTGAATTAGGTGTGATTTGAGATTGATTTGAGACTGATTTGAGATTGATTTGAGACTGATTTAATTTTTAGGATACAGAGAAGTTCCGTCCTCCTGAGGTTACTTCTAGTGCAAAGAATTCTATTAGACAAATGCTTCCTCTAGGCCTTAGTGAATCTATTAGTAAAGGTAAACTCATGTTTTGTAATGTTACTTAACAACAAAATCAAATATGAGATCGATTTTTGAAGAAACTTGATGGCTTGATCTACAATTTTGAAATTCAAATTATTTTTAAGTAAATTTTCTGTTAAATGGTTTTCTGAACTGTTTTTGTTAAAAACAAAGTGATAAAAGTATTTGATTTGGAAATGTATATATACATATTATTCTTCATTCGTTAATGTATAAAATTATTCAATAATAGTACTCGGTCATCATCAGTGTGTCTGAATAAGTACGTCATCTTCTGCATTGGAGAATGGAGAATGCAAATATTTAGAGGAAATTTGTACTAGATTCCCCTTTTTCTTCTGTCTCTATTTGCCTAAAATGGGGCTTCTTGCAGATCTCATTCTCGTATATTCTCGTAGAAAGACTGTATAGCATTGGGGGGGGGGGGGGGGGG